TGCACTCTTTCTTAGAAGGGCCTGGTGATCACATGGTGTCGCCATGAGCTCAAATCAACTTAACGGCACCGACAACAACAGCAGTGCCTGTGAAATGGTGTCTCACTGGGCATTTATTTTATGATGGTAAAACAGCACAAAGTTTGCCGTTTTCATCGTTTCCAAGTGTGCAACCCCTGGCATTCATCACACTCCCAGTGCTGCAAACTTCACCACTATAGGCAGCCCTCTGGTTGAACATCCGACTGCCTTGCCACAGCCTGGAGTTTTGAACCAACCCACGCAAAGCCTATTATATTAAAAGAAAACAGACAGGCCAAGGGATATGCCCTTGAAAGGTTCCAGTCTTGAAAACCCTGTGGGGCAGTTCTGCTCTGAACCACGTGAGGTGGAGTCGACTGGACAACTGCTGGCAACAGTGACAACATCATGCTGTGTCAGGAGCTGTTACAGGTGCTTGTAGTAGTTAAGGTGGTGCGTCAACTGGGCTGGGCCTGGTTTGAATGGCTGGGCAGTTGGATGTAGTTATTCCCCATGATAAGACGGTAATCACCTCCATGGTGGAATCTGCCGAGAGAAGCTAACTAGTTGCCTTTGGGGTGTGCCTGGCTTCCAGAAGTTATGAGGAAGCTTTGAGAAAGGGCTCTAGCTTTTTGGCATGTTTTGGATCCTGCATTTGACCTAGTCCTCATGTCCAGTTCCTGGACTTGAACCAGTGGCCTGCTGTATTGCCTACTGGTTTTGGGATTATGCCATTTTACCTGCTGATCTTGGATTCATCAGCCAGTAGCTGTGTGAGTCAGAAGTCTCCAGTTCTACTGGGCCTGGAACAAGAGGCAGAGCTAAAGCCCAAAGTCAAGGTGCCTTCACTCAGCCCTTAGAGCTAGCACTTTGAATTTGGATTTCTAGCCTCCTAAACTGTAGCACAATAAATTGCTGTTTGTTAGCCATTCCCTTGTGATGTTTCTGTTATAGCAGCACTAGGGAACAAAGACAGTGCTTTACGTATTTTACCCGACTTAGCCCTCAAAACACCTGCTAGTGTTTGACGGCACTCAGTTCAGGTTGCCTTCCCTCGTTCTCTGCCGGAGTTAGAATCCATAGCGAGAAGCGTATGCCTCAGTGTTCTGGTTCCCTAGTGCTGCTGACAGGAATATACCACAAATGGAATGGCCTTAACAAACAGGAGTTTATTCTCTTACAGTGTGGAGGCTTTAAGTCCAAGTTTAAAGTGCCAGGCTCTAGGGGCTGGGTGAAAGCCCCTCAGCCTT